CCAGCACTTCACGTCTGTCTGCCCTGACCCTGCATGTGTAATAAAAGCTATCAAGTACAAAATTGTTGAGCCAGCAGCATAAACACAATAAACAGAATTCTCACATTTGATGCTCTTTTCCAATCTGTCCTTCTCTGCTTGCATATGAAGCTTTTCAAATGCCACTGTCATTCTCTAAAAACAAAATTTAGTATTTGAAGTTCAATATTGGAAAACTCTGGAAGTTCTCCAGAGGCTGCTGCCATCCTCAGCCATTCCAAGAAATCACCAGGTAGGCAAAACAGAGTCCAAAAAGAAGACAAGACATTCTGTCAGTCACCCAGCACTAAGCACAGATCACACAGATCACATGGATCTACATCCTACACGCTACTGCATTTTCTCCATTGAATGTGCTTTATATAATACAAAAATGATTCTTGAGAAGGGACTGAAAACCTGACTTTCTGCATCACTCATGACATGATATGCACACATGATGGAAACAAATGGTATCTCAACATAAACATGTAACTCAGCCCAGCATATCCACATAACTCACATCCTTTTTACCAAGTGTCACTTACTTCTATGTCGCTATGAAGTTCCTCATACAATTGTCTTGTTTCATTTTTTTCCTGTTCATCTGTCAAAGCAAGAACATTCAGGAAGGTTTTTCTTTTGAAAAAGAATGCAAGCTGTCCAAGTCATTATTAAATTTCCTTCCCAATGTAATTTTTTCTGTGAAAAGTGTAATTCTGGATCAATTTACGTAACCATATTAATTATTATAGTATTAATGTTGTTGAATAATTATGTATCAAAACTGTTAGTATTTGATAAACTGTAATGCAAGGTTTAGCACTGAATTTCTTCCTATCAGCAGATACCTATGACCACAGAACTATCACTATAAAATTGCAACAACACTCCATGTCCATATTTTCCTTCTTTCCTTTCACTTTTGTAATTGATATGTAATTGATACTATTTTTCCCTAAGCAAACAATTAAGGAGAGAACAGTAAGAAAAAAGAAAGATACTTTTTTGTATCAAAAAAGTACATCTATACACAAGTGTTTCTAGAATTAAGGCTAAAAAGAAATAGACACTTCTTAAGTATCCAGGATCAAGTTAGTAAAATTTTAATGACTATAATAACAATTCTAAATTGCATATAAAGTCATTACCAATCAAGAACATGTTTTAAAACCTCAAGAATTAAACTTCATTAAGTTATCCAACTGTCTTGGCTTGTTCAGTTTTGCAAGAAGAATTCTACTTACTCATTATACCTTGGTGTTAAGACCTTTTTTCCCCACAAATGTGTGAATGGCTTCAAACAGGAAATTCCAGCTCTGGAAATTTGTTAATGAGTGCTGGGAATTTGGAGTAGATTTGACTGACTAAAAACAGGCATGAAATGCCACTTCATACATCTTAATATATTCACAGTGTCTGGATGGGATTGAAAACCTTCAGTGGGCTGACCAGACTTGAGGAGACCTGCATGGCTCTGGAGTACCTGTCAGTGGTTAATCAGGGGTGTTGACACTGCCTCAAACCTGTATCAGTGTTTAGGCACCCAAATAGCTCCCAGGCTTGCAACCTTTCAGCAAACAATGACACTGGCTTCAAAAGCCCTCTGGATTTAGCATTACATACTGATACTGAAATATCTACTGAATAATGCTTCAGGCACTGTTTGGGAACAAATTTAAACAACCCAAATAAATTAGATATGCAGAGTTGATACTTAGCTGACCTCTTCATCTACTTCAGAGCAAAGTTTTACTTGCTGTGAAATTGTATCTGAAACATGAAGAGACATTGATCAATGTATTGCTAAAAAAAGTAACGGTGAAACTGCTAACAGTGTTAACAGATTTGAAACAGTGTTACAGATATGAAACTGTAAGACTACTCATGAAAATTAAAACTCAATATAAAAAAAAAAAAGTAAAGATTGTGCATGGCAAATATTTTAGTCTTACCTGAATCAGTGATTTCACCATGGTTCGACATATTGGATGGCAACTTAAAATCATCATCTGAGCATTTGTTAGAACCCTGCACAAATTTAAAAATTAGTTTCTTATGGGTAGGTTTGTAAAGAAGGATTATAAATCTAGGAAGAAAAACCTCTACAGATGATGTGAAAATAAATTTTTTCATTAATAAGGCAGCTGCCTACAACTTTCAAAGCCCAAGCTATTGGCAATGGCTTTGGAACTCGCTTGCTTCTTACTTCACAGTGGCTTATCAAATTGTTGGTCTTTTGCAATTTCCTTTATAGACTGTGGCCAAAAGGGAAGCTTTCAATGCAGGAAACTCAGCAGTTCCTGCCTGTCTGTGCACTTGTGCATGGTAAAGAACTCAAGAAGCCAAATTACTTTTTTGAAGACCAGTAGCTGGTATTTCTTTTTTGCTTTACTTCCAATGGCAGTTTTAAGCCATATCTGATTATGTTCCAGCATGAAAATACTCTTTTACAAGGTTTTTAAGTGACAGAAGTTTGTCCTGTAAACAGCATAACTCATCTGCTGTCAGAATATCCCGTTTGAATCTCAACACATTTCTTAAGGAGCTTCGACATGAAAAAATAACTTAATTCCCATAACCCAGTGTGGGCACAGAACATTTTCGCTGCACACTTGATCTGGTGAGAGCAAGACATCAACGCCACTGCTCACATCCTTGTGGGGCACTGCTCGCTTTCTGTGCTGAATTACCCGTATCAAATGCGGACCTATCATCAGTGAAGTAGTTACAACACAGAGCAGATTCTCGAGAAGATGATTCCCTTCAGTTCAGATGGGAAATAACAGCAAAAGTCTTTGGAATTCGAACCCAAGGTGTTCCCCCGG